GATGCTTATGTATTGTATTTACAAGAATGCAATGTATAGTTTTAATAGTTATTTAACATGAAGAAAGATCAATGGAAATATCTGTTAATATATTTGAAATTCCATTATAGTGAAGGCATTAATGTAAGAGAAAAATACAGTAAATTGCATTTAAGGCAATTGAGACAAGATTATCTACAAATCTTTTCGACAATTTGTCTATAATGAGAGAATTTGTGAACAATATCAAAGAGAAAAAAGGAAATCTTTATATTTTTGTAATAAATAACCTTTTCTTCCCACCCTCCCCCTTTAAAAACAAAGAAACAATTTTAAGGGGCATGATGAAGAAGCATTATGAAAGTAATTGAAAACACGAAATAACAATTTCTGTGACTCATTATCCATTTTAAATTGCTGTTCCAGTAATCTAGAATTGCTGAAACAGTTAACTATCTCCAACCATAGCTGTAATCTACTCTCTTGAAAAGAATTGATTGTACATACTGGCTGCTTCAGGAATGTGTAACAAACCAAAGGCTGATGGATATCCAAGCAGTATAGAAGCCCCATCTAGACAAAGCCACAGCACTAGAGATGGGGCTCCCATTGGAGACCGGAAGCTTCTCAGAGATGGGAAATTTGGACAAATAGAAATTTGAATTTGCCAATTTAGCAATGGATTTAATTCTCACACTAAAACAAAGCATGGGAAAATAACAAGTAGGATTCCAAAATGTACAAATCAGGTAAGCAGTAAAACGATACAAACTTTTATCTTCTCTGCAATAGCTCTTTTATATAAGAGAGCAGCAATCCTAAGAAACTTGCAGGAAAGTCTCTCAGATATTTTTCATCTTTCTAGGCCTTGGGAGGAGAGGGTTTGGTACAAATTTCTTAATGCCTCATCCTTACAATCAGAGTTCAACTTGTCATTAAAGTGTGGGGAACCAGCTCTGCTGTCCTTGAATGCAGGGGTTTTTTTTTTCTTTATGAGATTGAAGTATTATAATAGCTTGAAGGCATAAGTGGCTTATTTATTTGATAAACATTCAAAATATCAGAAATGAAAGTGATTCCAAAGGGAAGAAATAAAAGTATTCTTAGATATTGCTGTCATTATTAGTGATGGTAAACCTTATCTAATTTATTCTTGGGTGTTCTTTGAAACAGAAAAAGAAGAAAATGTTTTAAAAAAATCTCACATTTACTTGCAATGAGTAGGTATTTAGAAAACCATGCTATTAAGGTCAAATTTCTGAAGTCAATGTGAATTAAAAAACATGGAAAGGAATGTCAGAAGGAATGGAGAAAAATATTGCCTTTGCTTAATTATCTTAATATGTCTGTTATGATTGTTCCTATGTACTGTCATGGAGACATGGTGAGTTTCTGAGTCTCTGAACACAAAACTCAGTGAACATTTAGACCTACAGAAACCACAGCTCAGAAGTGAGAAGGAGGGAAAGCCCCTCTCTGGCCTGCAGGGTGGGGTCATCTTTTTTTCTAACTGCTTTTCTCCCTTCTCCCCAACTTTCCTCTTAGCCTCTCAACTCTATAGCTGATTGCTCAGGAAGAGTTCAGCAGAGGGGCGGGTCAGGTCTTCCTTTACCCTACCTCCCTATGATACGGCTGTCTCTTTACACTGCTCTCTTCAAATTTTAGATTTTTTCATCCAGAGTACAGGAAGAGTAACAGCATTAACCAAGAATGTTGATAGTGATGTGAGTTTCAAAATGAAGAGCAGAAAATGTCTAATGTTATTATTGTGCTTGCTTTTCCGCCACTCTTTGTTTGGTTCATACTGGTTTCCCAGTCACGGAGAGAGAACTCGCCATACATAGCTCACTAAGTCGGCAAACCAGATTCTCAAGTCCAAACTTAAAAAAAAGGAGAATTTTGTTGGCTTAGACCAAAGTCCTAAAGCATTACAAAGCCTGTTAACCACTCTACCAGGTATTCACTCTTCATCAAGACAAAGAAAATATGATGTCAAAGTCCACAGTTCACACAGTGAGAACTAGGAAAAGTCTACTCCCATTAGGAGGTGCAAGTACAGAAATCCCTATTCACGATAGAAATCCCTATTAAACTTGGGTTTCAAATTTACTGATACGATATAGATATACTCTCAGTACTGGTGTGTCAGGGTGGTAATTAGTTCTCTAAATCTAGTTTAAGGATGTTCTGAACTTTTAGGTTTTCACTGTTGATGGAATGTTTTGGAGGAGTTCCAGCTCCTTCCTTCCTTCAATGACACAAAGTAGAGTCTGTATCTAAACATGAGAAATAACTTGTTGTCAACAGGAATGAATTGGTCAGTATTGTCTGTCACAACAGGTCCTCACAATCAATCTGCAGGTGCCGTGGCACTTCTGCAATCAGGATTGATGGATACGAAAGCCAGCTGTGGCTCATCTATTTCATTGCAGATGGCCACAGCCCTTGATTCCATTGAGAAAAGTAATTTGTCTCCCAAAACTCAAATGCCGCCTTCCCAGTATTTTACTTTCAAAGACAAGGGAGGATAAATGACCATATGGAGCTGAAAGTGAATTTGTCGAACCTGTTACCGAGTGTTTTTTCTGGGCAGCAAGTGATGAAATGAGGGTTGCTGGTTCCAAGTTCTAAAGCTCCTTTGCATAAATAAATTTCATTGTGTTTAACTGGACATAATTTTTAGTGCATTTGCCTTGCATATATCTGACTTGTGTCCGGGTTCACAGCTTCAGAAATCTGTGTAACCCCATGTACAAGACAAATGGTTCATCCCAATCATAATAATGTAATATAATAATGTATTAAGCTTCTAGCAAATGGTCTTATTGTTATACTTATTGCTTCGCAATTTGATAAGCACTTACGTTACCATGCAAAATTACTTTATTCATTTCAGTAATAAAGAAAGAAATAGATGAAATAGAAGTTTGATTTAAAAGTCTCTGTTTTGCCCAAGATAAGCTGGTAAAAAGACATTTGTTGAAGGTAGGAAGGGCCATATTTTCAAAAGCTCACTGCTAATTTGAACCCTATCAAAGAGACACACACAAATGTGCACCCATTTTTCAGCACATATCAGGAAACATGAATAATTGAAGTGCTTTTGTATTCTAGATTTTCATTAAATATAACTCCAGTGTTGGTCCTAGCCTTCAGTTTTGTGCCAGGTTTACTTTAGCAAAGTGAATTAACGAAATAATGGATTAAATAAAACTTCTTATTAAGAAATCCATGCACGCTGAATAAAAATAGTATAAGAAAAATAATGGGTTTCTTAGGCTCCTCTAAATATGTTCTTTCATTATTTTTAAGGGCATATTATTTTGGTGATTCAGGGAACTGATCTTTACTACCTAAAAGAAATCAAATTAGTATTCACTGTAACTAACTTCCAAATGAAAGAAAAGACATGTTCCCAGGGAAAAATTCAAGATATACTGTTTATTAAATTCTATAGCTAAATGTGAAAGAAGTGACAGTAGCTTTTTGTGAAGTAAGCCAAGTCCATTTTCGCATACTATTTGATAACTTATAAAGCATATGTAAGTGACAGTGCTGGTAATGAGTGATATTATATTCACTCTACTGTATATTTTAATTGAAAAGAGAACATATTATCAGTTTGGGATTTATAAAAAAAAGCTGAATACAAACGTGTAGGAAAGTTTGAAGGATTTGTGTGATGAGACAACCTTGGGTTTTGAACTTTCTGTAACCATGTATAATTATCAAACAACTTGAGGCATATTTTATTGTTTTGTCCTTCACCTACAAAAAAAGGAAGTGATGATGTTTATGAGAAACTCTTGTAGCGGATGGAAGATCAGCAAAGATCAATAGGTTAATATTTATAAACCACAGCTCAGGTAATATAAAGTCTGCAAATGCATAAAATAAACATTATGCTAATGATAGGCTATTGATCATAAAAAAATTACTTTGCTCTAGGGTAACACCTTTCATTTGTTCTGTAGCTTGTATGTATGTTAGTCTAAGATGGATATTAAGTCATAGTCATAATTATCATTTAATAGCCTCAAGACTGATGTAGAGAACAGAGAGCTTTCTATGGGGATTATTGTTTTTTATTATCAAAGTTTTGCACTTGAAACATGAAAAATAGGAAAACCATCACTGATGCTCTGTCAGATAAAGCTAAGCCTTAATTAAGATGGTATAAATATCCTCCTATTGTGGGTGTTCTACTTAGGAGCCTTGAAAATAACATTCATTTTGAAATTAATTTATATGTTATCTAATATTCTTAATTTTTCAAAGAGTTTTCTATTTTTTTATGTTTGCATTTCATTCACTGCTATGAAAACCAAATGAAATACATGGATATATAGAAAGGTCAGAGAACTGTAATTCTTCATTCCTCCTAATGGTATTGCTCTTTTAGTATTCTAGATTCAAAACCTCAGTGCAGATATTATTTTTTGCTTCTTGTTTACTACTTGGAATTAGAAGTCTATCTAATATACCCTAAGGCCAAACCCTGTCTCTCACAGCTGCCTATTTTCTTCTCTTCCCATTATGCCCCAGCTTCTCATTTATTTTCATTGACACCATCATCCTAATTTTCAAAGTGCCCTTTTTATCATTGTCTCTGTGCTCTCTCTCTCTCTCTCTCTCTCTGTCTCTCTCTCTCTGTCTCTCTCTGTCTCTCTGTCTCTCTGTCTCTCTCTCTCTCTCTCTCTCTCTCTCTCTCTCTCTCTCTGTATTTTGTACCATGCATTGAACTCAGGACCTGTACTTGCCAGGTAGGCGTTATGTTGCTGAGCTTACATCTCTTGTCTCTGCTCTTCTTAATTTTTTTTTAAACTTAACTATTTTACTACTATTCTTCCAAAAAAGTCTTCATGGCTCCCTATTGAAAACACATCACTTAAAAATTCGGCATTCCAATTCCCCTTTTAAATACAAAATGCTTGAATATATAAAATGTGAAATGGATTGCACTGAATTTGACTTGTGGTTCTGACCCTGGCTTTTCCTCTTTTTAATTCTTTTTTTTTCAGAACTGGAGACTGAATCTAGGACTCTCACACAGTAAGTAAATGCCCTGTCACAGAGCTTTTCTTTAGTTTACCCCTGCTCTTTTTGTCACCCACCAAATGCTCTTTGAAATCCTGGAACCCATCATAGTGTTCTCATAAGGTGTAACTGACACAATTAATTAACTAAGCAAATATTTATTAAATGTCTGTTATATGTCAGATGTTGTTCTAAGACTGATGATAAAACAGAAAAATAGTTCCTAGGGAGATGGATAATTATGAAACAGTACACACGCATCCACATACACAGATTCATGGACTTGTCCTTTTAGTTTAGCTTGTGCAGAAAAATCCTGAAATTAGCACAGAGAATTTCCTCATCTGAAGTCTTGCCTATTATTGATATCTTATTTTGAGATACTATAATTAATAATCAAACCTTACAGTTTATTCAGATTTCCTTATTTGTTCTCCAGAATCTTGTCTTTCCCAGTTTAAAGCTCCTATGCAGGGTACATTACATTCACTTGTCATTTTTCTTGAACATGGCAGTCCGGGAAACGCAACTCTTGGGTGTGATAGCTTCTCAGATATTCTTTGTGTTTGGTGCCACTGATAGTTATTGAATGTGAGATACAGACCAGTAATATGAAGAAAAATAAGGCGGATAAAGAAAAAGTAAAAAGAGGGCATTACTTAGACAGGATGGCTAAGCAAGCTATTTTTTGAGATGACATTTAAATCGAAACTAGAATGTACTGAGAAATCAACCCATAAAACTAGCTATGAAAGTAGATTTCTAGAGCTGAGAAACGCCAATGTCAGGGTCCTGAAGAGGGGCTGGTGAGTTTAACAAGTGTCAAAAAACATTGGCACCTATCGATTTTAGCCTGCATGAAATGGAAAGTTCTTTATATGCTTATAAAATAGTAGAGATGGATAAACAATGTAATATCCTATTATTATCATAATATTTTTGATTACTATTCACATACCATAACCTATAGCTGATCTGTATTACCCTTTTTCAAATCAAATTCCAAGCTTCCAATCTGTGACATTTATTAATATTCCCTCTGCAAGGTCTGTGCCTGTACTTCTATGCCATAAGCCTTTCCAGTATCAAAATCTAGCTCAAGTATCACTTTTATGACAACTTTTCCAAGCTTTCTGTGTGGGATACATTTTTTTCCTCAGTGTAATATTTTGGGAAATACGATTATGTGGAAATATACATTTTAGAATTTAATGTTTGAATTTAGGCTTCCATGATGTATTTGTTAGATTTATTACTTTATATTGTGTTGTTATAATCAGACACCTGAGGCAGAATACTTTATTAAGAAAGAGTTTATTTAGGTTACAGTTTTGGAGGCTGAGAACCCAAAGTGCCCGGCTTTGGTGAGGTCCCTGCTGGCTGTGCCACATCATGGCAGATGAGACAGGAAATCTGATTGGAGAGAGGCCACTCTTGTTTTTTCTAGGAAAAAAAAAAAAAAAAAAAAAAAAAAAACAACTCTTCTAAGCACAAACTCAGCAACCAGTGATAAGTATATTAAACCTATAAGACCATCGCCCCAAATGACCCAACCATGTTTACTAGACCCCATTTCTCCAAGGTCCCAATATATCTCATCATCATCATACCAAGGACTAAGTTTTAGCATTTCCAACTTGGGACCAAGCTTCATAATGTAATAAAATAATATTCAAATGAAAGGGAAACACACACACACATAAATAGAACTAGAAGAGGGATTTCTTTTGGGGGATGAGAAAGGGAGTAGATATTAGAGGTGGGGGACAGGAAAGGGCCGAAGGAAGGTGGATATGATCATGGCACAATATGCACCCATATGTATGGGTCATCCCGAAACCCATAAGTACATGTTCATCATCATCATAATAAGTCATAGCATTAGTTTACTTGGAGTCATTTATTTCAAAAAGGGGGCCATTAGTTACCTTGTGAGTGTGTTTTCTTTGTGAGACCATGCATGAGAAATGATACAAAAAGCTAATTATTTAAAGTAAATTCTTCAACTTTGGTTGTGATGTTCACCTAATCCCTCCTTTTATAACAGTTACTAATATTTTCACATATGTCTAATGTCTTCTCTATATAACCACAGTGTTGAATGCCAAGGGTCGTGCTGGGCAGGGGTGATAAAGACCCCACAGTATAAGAGGTTTCGACGTTAGGGGGAGACAAAGCGTGCACACCCATGTGCAAGGGAGTGAAAGGAAGAAGCAGTGGGGAGAGCGAGAGCAGCACACCAGTTGCAGAAATGAAACCTGGGCACACCACCCAGTGCTCGTGGGAGCTGGGCAGATCCCTGTAATCCCCATGCCCGGGAGGCTGAGGCAGAAAGATCACTAGTTTGAGGCCAGCTTGGGTAAAGACACCCTAGAATCACTGCCAGGCCCCTGCATACAATTTTGGTTGTGGTACATGCTCAATAAATGTTAGTTGAAATTGCAAATTCCTGTAAGTGACCTTGCAAGTATGGATTGCTTGGTGGCACTCAGACTCACAGTGACACACAGAGGTGAGGCTCAAAGAGAACTTTAGAACTCGCAGATGCCTGTTCTGTATTTCACAGAGACGCAGGGATTGTACATTTCAACTGAAGGGAACTTTAGCAGAAACTTAAGCTGTGCACGTGTAAAATCTCCTCTTAAATAAATGACATAAAATAGAGATTATATTTGAATATTAAAAACACTACAACCAGACCTTTTAGCAGAGAGAAGCAGGGTGATCTCTTTCCTGTCCACCATAACTGGATATGGCTGACACCCCATGACAAAAGACAGGCTCGTAATAAAAATTGTAATAAATTTGTTTGATCCTATTTTTATGTGACACAGGATCCTCCAGATTAAAGACTTAAAGAGCCAGTATGGCTATCCACTTTTATGGTTAGGATCAGTGAAGCAAGGACAGCTGTGTAGCAATCTGATTATTCAAAAAGGGTGTGATCTAACACGAACAGACTGAGTGGGAAACCCTTGAGACCTATCTGTTCCGATTCTCCCTGATTTCTCAGTTGTAGTGCTTCTATGTCCTTGGTATGGGCAAGAACTTTCCTTACTTTCCTCATGTGTAACTCTTAACAGAAAGGAGGGGGGATTTAGTAATACTAATAGGGTCTATCTATGTCTACATATGTAGTTAGAGCTGGAGAAAGAATCTGATTACTTTCCTGTATCTCAATGCACAATCTAAAATGGAATTATTGTGATGTTGGATAATGACTTGGATTTTGTGTGTGTTTATTTTATTGCAATTACTTTATTTTAATTCTTTGTTAGTATATGTTTGCAGTGCATAATGACTACATTCTTTTTGGGTAATTGGTTTGTGTACATAAACACATCTTAATTTTTTTGTTTCCTCTCCTCTTCTACCTGCCCCTTGGCATCCATCTCTTTGCTATATGCAAAAGAGCTGTCCCCCTGTTTTTCTATTATCTATCTTTTATGTTGCTTTTTCGTGTTGTTCCTTAAATTATTCATATTTTTGGTTTCTCATGTGAGAGAGAGACCATGTAATATTTAAGCTTGTATCTTCAATTTATCTCATTTAACTTTATGATCTCAAAGTGCCTCTATTTTCCCATATATGACCAAAATTTATCCTTATTTATAGCAAAGTAGTACTCCGTCATGTATAAATACTACATTTTCTTTATCCAGTCATCTGTTAATGGACATACGGGCCATTTTCAAGATTTAACTGTTGTCATTATGGTGCTGTTAACATGGGTACCAAGGTATCATTAAAATATGACATCCTTAATTCTTTTGGGAAGATACTTAGGAAAATAACAGGGTGGAATGAAATTTTTATCCTTGGTTTTTTGAGGAAATTCCATATTAATTGCTATAGTTGTGCTAGTATATGACAACCCTAAAATTCTCCCCAAATTTCTGGTCCAAGTCCTACACTATGGAAATATTGTCTAAGTCACATTAGTGAGTTAGCAGGTAGTTATTAGATAAGTGCTTTCACTGTATCCTGCTAATAGAAGGTCCTTCTTCTGAGGGACATTTATTACTTAAAATACTCCTTTCAAATATGATGTATTTTTCACCTGACTTTCACCTACCTTGTGTTCAGTTTTGGCAACACAAGGCTTATAATCATATCAATTAGTGCCTGACAACTTTCTTTATTGAACACAGCCTATCTATTATCATAACAGCTAATCATGGACTGATGATTTTACTGCAAAGAAAGTACTGACTTCTCATTTCCTCCCTTATAATAACTCTGGGGTAGCTTTTCCTGTTGTCTTCGTTTAATAAATGTGGAACTGGTCTGCCAAGTTATCTTTCAAGTACAGCTCATGTTATAAATGATCTAGATAGAATTTGAGACTATATAATGTGGTGCCAAAGCCCAATATCTATAGTAAGTTAGGGTAGTAACTGTACAAATATTTGCACATTTACATGTGAAAAGCGTGTGCTTATCCGACTAGTAGTCTACAAAATTAACCAATCTTGATAGGAAACTTTCAATGAGACTGCAAAAGAGTACTTGTGAACCTTATATCCTACTGTGTACTCTGCTCAAGAAATTTGACAACAAAGGCCTGCAGGATCATCTTTTCTTCTTTGTCATGGTTTCTAAAAGCACAGTTAGGTGCTTAAATGAAAGGGTCTTGATGGTTGACATGCAATCCCCTGATCATTGATGAGAGATGAGGTCAACAAACAAGCAAGATAAAAGTCTGGCTTCCACACTGATGCTCTCCTCTCCATAACTCTCATTTGTATAGGGGGACTACTTACTGTATCTCATCATGGACCACGGAGGCTGAAGGTCCTCACATGTCTTCCAGTCGACTATCCTTTATACAGCCTTTTACTAGGATCAGTTCTGCAACCCAAATATCTGAAATACTTTGATCTTCCATTGCATCATCTATGTAGCCCCTTGGTGTTCTTAATCCCAACAGCATCCTAGGAGGGAAGCCTGCTTATGAATTAAACCATTCCCCTGTCATTTCCAGTGACTGGATTTCCAATTTTTTCCAAGTGATT